CTTTCTATTCCTCAATCCAACACCCCTTTTAAACGAGCTAGGGTTCCATGGTGGAACAACACGCTTTCGTTTTTGAGGAAAAATAAAATGGATCTATGGCATCGCTTTAAGAGATGTCCTGATCAGAATCACTTGTTATTATACAAAAAGGCCAATGCTCTATTCAGGAAGGAATTACGGAAATCAAAGGCACTTAGTTTCGAACTTTTCTCGAGACGAATTCACAGAAATACATCAATGAAAGTTGTCTGGAACAAAATCAACAGACTTAATGGGACTTCAAACCTGAACCAAATTTCTGCCATCTGCACTCCCAATGGAACTTTAACTGACGCAGATGAGATTTCTAATTACTTTGGAAAAGTGTGGTGCGAATACTCCTCTGACAGCAACTTCTCCAGTGCTTTCATTGAAAATAAAAGGACTCCAATATCTCCTTCAAATAATATCGATAGATGTGCCATGTTCCTGGAAAATAGCGTATCTACATCAGAACTTGGAAGTTGTCTCTCCAATTTGAAGGGGAAGACACCTGGTCTAGACCGCATCTCATACCAAATGATCAGTGCTATGTCGAAGTCTAGTAAAAAGAAATTACTGGACCTATATAATATGGTATTTATGACTGGCCATATACCCTACATGTGGAAAATGGCAACAGTTGTTCCAATTCCAAAGTCAAAAAATGTCTCCATCGCATCTGATTATCGCCCAATTTCTCTTTTATCTTGCCTCTCTAAGGTTTTAGAGAAGATTATGGCATCTAGATTTTCTTGGTTTCTTGAATCCAAGAACCTGATAACAAAGCAACACGTTGGTTTCAAGCGGGGTAGAGGATGCATCGACGCTCTGTTACATATTGATTATTTCACAAGCAAAGCAATTTCCGAACGAAATCACGTAACAATTCTCTCAATTGATTTCGAAAAAGCATTTGACAGAGTTGGTCTTCATGTTATCTTAAGACTCTTGAAATCATGGAATGTTGGACCCAAATTCTTCAACTATATCAAATCATTCATGTCGCATCGGCGGTTCAAAGTTAGAATCAACAATCATCTTTCTGATTCCTTTCCGCTAAAGAATGGCATTCCGCAAGGATCTCCTCTCTCTGTCACGCTTTTCCAGATCGCTTTCAACGAAATTAGCGAAATTCTTTGCCGTGTACCAAGAGTGGAACATTGTCTCTACGCGGACGATGTATACATTTTTACAAAAGAAAAAGACAACACGAAAGCAATCAACATCCTCGAATCTATTGCATGTGAGATCTCCACATGGGCAAACTCGTCAGGAGCTATAATCTCTATACAAAAATCAAAAAAAATGCACATTTGTCGAAAACAAATGTGCGATGCAGGAAACCTACTGATGCATATTAACGGCTTACCAGTACTAAATGTGCAGACGCTCCATGTTCTCGGGCTCACGTTTTCAAACAATTATCGCACACTGCCTTCGTTTAAAAAACTCCCTTTTAACAAGGGTAAATTTCATACAGTACGTTGCTTGGAGAAGCCATGCGCATATTAACACTATCGCTTATCTTACCAAAATGCTTGTGTTAAGCAAGATTGACTATGCTTTGATAATTTATGGCAATAGCTGCAAATCTAATATCAACATCCTTAAACCGGTCTATCACCAAGCCGTTAGAGCAAGTTGTTATGCTTTTCGGACGACGCCCATAAATAATATTATAATTGAAACTGGTCTCCCAACCTTAGAAAATAGACTGTATGAGTTAAAAGCTAAAATAGTCCCTAAGCTTCTTAATTCAAACAAATCCATTCTCGGTGATGACGTAAGAAAGATTATTATTGCGAAGAAAATTGCAAAGTCACCATCTGCAATTGACCGTTGTTTGTGCATCGCAAAGGAATTGAACATTCCCTTAAAAATTTTCCGCTCTTTTGGTG